GAAGGATCAACATAGTAAAAATGGCAATCCTACCAAATGCAATCTATAGATTCAGTGCAATCCCCATCAAAATCCCAACAAACTTCTTCACAGACCTTGAAAGAACAATAATTAATTTCATATGAAAAAACAAAAAACCCAGGATAGCCAAAACAACCCTGTACAATAAAGGAACTTCTGGAGGCATCACCATCTCTAACATCAATATCTATTACAGAGCAGCAGTCATGAAAACAGCTTGGTACTAGCATAGAAACAGAGAGGTTGACTAATGGAATCAAATTGAAGACCCAGATATTAATCCAAACTCCTATGAACACCTGATTTTTGAAAAAGAAGCTAAAATTATACAATGGAAAAAAGAAAGAATCTTCAACAAATGGTGCTAGCATAACTGGATGTCAACATGTAGAAGAATGAAAATAGATCCATAACTATCCCCTTGCACAAAACTCCAGTCCAAATGGATTAAAGACCTCAATATAAATCCAACCACACTGAATCTGATAGAAGAGAAAGTGAGTAGTAGTTTTCAATGCATGAGCTTAAGAGATCACTTTCTAAATATAATCCCAGTAACACAGACACTGAGAGCAATAATAAGTAAATGGGCCTCCTGAAACTAAGAAGCTTCTGTAAAGCAAAGGACACAGTCAATTGGTGTAGGAGGTTCTGTTCATGTCTTGCTTTCATTGGCTAATTAATAAAGAAACTGCTTTGGGCCTGATAGGGCAGAACTTAGGTAGGCGGAGAAGACAGAACTGAATGCTGAGAAGAGGGGCAGAGGGAGAGACACCATGGATCTCCTGTCTGAGACAGATGCTGGTTAGAATCTTGCCAGTAAGCTACATTCATGTGGCAATACACAGATTAAAAGAAATGGATTAAATTAAGATGTAAGAATTAGCCAATAAGAAGTTAGAGCTAATGGGCCAGGCAGTGTTTTAATGAATACAGTTTCTGTGTGATTATTTCGGGTGTAAGTTAGCCGGGCAGCTGGGATACAGCCCACTCCTCCTTGCAACAGTCAAAAAAAAAAGCAACCTACTGAATGGGAAAATATCTTCATCAACCCCACATCAGACAAAAGACTGATCTCCAAAATATATAAAGTACTCAAGAAATTAGACATTAAAATTCTAAATAACCCAATTAAAAAATGGGGTACTGAACTAAACAGAGAATTCTCAACAGAAGAATCTCAAATGTCCAAAAGATACCCAAAAGATGCTCAATCATACTACAAAGGCATTTGTTCAACTATGTTCACAGTAGCATATTTATTTTATTTATTTTAATAGCCAGAACCTGAAAAAATCCTAGATGCCCCTCAACCAAAGAATGAATAAAAAAATGTGGCACATTTACACATGAGAATACTATTCAGCAGAAAAACAATGGCATCTTGAATTTTGCATGCAAATGGATGGAACTAAAAAACACTATCCTAAGTGAGATAACCCAGACCCAACAGGATGAATATGGTATGTACTCACCCATAAGTGGACATTAGCTATCAACAAAGGAGATGAGCCTATAGAGCATGAGCCTAGAGAAGCTAAGAAATAAGGTGAACCCAAAGAAAAAGCAAATATATATCCACCTGGAAATTGTAAACAGACAAGATCGCCTGCCAAAACTGGGAGCATGGGAGTGGGGGGAGAAAGAAGGGTGAAAAGGAAAGAAGAGGGGAGAAGGGGAGGGGTGAGAGAACTTGAGGGGATGGGATAGTTGAGATGGAGGAAGGATGGAGATGAGAACAAGGAAAGGGATAAATTGTTTGAAGGAGCCATTATAGATTTAGCAGAAACCTGGCTCTAGAGAAATTCCCAGGAATCCACAGGGATGACCCCAGCTAGGACCTTAAGCAATAGAGGAGAGGGGGTCTGATCTTGACTTGCCCTGTAGTCAGACTAATGAATGTCTTAAATATCACCATAGAACCTTCATCCAGCTACTGATGGAAACAGAGGCAGAGACCCGCATTAGAGCACTAAACTGAGCTTCCAAAGTCCAGTTGAAGAGTGGGAGAAATGAGAATATGAGCAAAGAGGTCAAGACCATGATGGGTCTACCCACAGAAACAGTCTTCTTGAGCTAGTGGGAGCTCACCAACTCCAGCCAAACTGGGAAGGAACAAGCATGTGAACAATAGTTGCATGGCTGGGGCAGACTGAAGGGCCACTGGTAGTGTCTCCAGGATTTATTCCTACTGCATGTACTGGCCTTTGGGAAACCTATTTTCTTTTGTTGGATGCCTTGCTTGGACTGAAAATAGAAGGGAGGGCCTTGGACCTTCCACAGAGCAGTGTGACTTGCCCCCTCTGAGGATTGGAAGTGGATGGGGTGGGAGGGTAAGTGGAGGGAGTGGGGAAAGTGGAGGGAGGAGGAACTTGGATTGGTGTGTATAGTGAAAAAGGATAGTTTCTTTTCTTTTCTTTTTAAATAAATAAATATAAAGATAGCTAGGCTGGTTTACTTTAGCAGTCCCTCTATCAAGCCCATATCTCTTAACAATAAGCAAATATTCCACAGCATAAATAAATGAAACATATCTTAAACTAATATTACAAAATAGGAACCTCCCTTAACCTTCTTCAAAAAGATCAACTATATTGGTTAAGGGATCCTAATTTCTGATTAATCCAGATAGCTTATATCATCTTAGATACTCTTCTTGCTGACTGTTATATAAAATCTGCTTTCTTCTGGGATGGAGAAATGGTTCAGTGATGAACACTGTCAGCTCTTCCAAAGGTCCTGATTTCAATGCCCAGCAATCACATAATGGTTCACTATAATGATTTTTATTTATCTTTTAATAAATTTAGCTTGCCTGAAGATCAGAGGGTAAAACTAAGCCACAAGAGGTCAGGAAGTGGTGTCACACACCTTTAATCCCAGGATTTATGAGACAGAGGCAGATGGATCTCTGTGAATTCAAGGCCAACCTGGGTTATACAAGATCAATGCAGAAAGAAATCGAGGTGGTGGTGGCTCACACCTTTAATCTCAGTACTAGGGAGTCACACGCCTTTCATCCAAGCACTAGAGGGGAATATATGATGGGAGGAAATAGTGTCTCAGGGTTCAGTCTACAGTCACCCAGCCTTGATAGTGGTAAGATGTCTCTAATGGTTTGGCTGTTTTGCTTTTCTGATTTTCACCTTGAACCCCAATATCTGCTTGCTTCTGCTTCATTTTGCTCTTCTCCCTGACCCCTCTTGGGACTGTCTCAGCAGTTGGATTCCCCAATAAACTTTTCTTCCTATTCATGAAGTGGTCTTGCAAAGAACAAAGTGATGGCCGTGTTTCACAGTTTCTCCAGATCTCTTTGGTATTTGCTTTTGTAACCATCCTGCTTGGTTATATAGTATGGGAAATATTTTTATGACACTTCAGACTCCTGGGTCAACAGGACATTACAAGAAGCCCTTGGTGAAGAGGATGAAACTGACTTCAGGACAAAGAAACACTACTGAATTTAGCTATTTTTATTCCATTTTGGCAGTAGCTGGTCATATTATATATGGGGATCATAAAGCAGAGAGATGAAAAATAATGATCTATATACTTATGCTTTTTTATTCAACCCAGGATCACAGTCAGTGGAAGGGTTCTGCCCACATTCTGGTAAGTTTTTCCATTTAGTTATGCCTTTTTGAAAATTCCTCAAGGAAAAAAAATCTAGAGGTTTGTCCCTTTTTTAAATTATGTAAGAGTGATAACAAAAATTAACTATCATATGTCTACCCCTTTTCAATTTGAAATACCAAAACATTACTTTTAAGTCATAAATTTCCTCCCTGGTCCTCAAAAGCCCATGGCCATCTCATAATGCAAAATGGATTTATTGTGTTAGGAGTCTTTTAAATCCAACAATTTTAACACTGTTCAAATGCCTAGAATAAAAAATAAAAAAAAACTCCTATGAGACTTAAAGCAAACTTTTAACTGTGAGATACTATCAAATCAGATGTGTTATATACTTTAAATACTCAATGTCAAAAATAAATGTTCTCATCCAATATGTAGGAAATTGAACCATAGTAAGGAAATACTGTGCCAAAGCAAGGCTGGAGCCCAGCAGGGGAAAACCTAAAACCTGTTGCTTCATGTCAGCACCTGCCCCTCATGATATAATCAATGTTCTACCAGTTATTCCACATGAGGCAAGTGAGCCTCTCCCTTGGACTTATGCCTTTTCATGTGCACAGTGTTTCTGGGTGGAGAACCCTGGTATCTCCAACTTCCAATGATCTCTTTTACTTCACATTCACAGTCTCAAAATGGCCTCTTAGAGTTTCATTGTAAAACCACTAACACTGATATACTTTTTCCAACCTTAGCAAATGTCTGGAACCTTATTAGGACCATCCTCCAAAACCCCATGTTTCTTATATATTGCAGTTTTTTACCAATTCACTGCATGGAGTGAATGACAATGCCAAAGGGGAGGAACACCAAAGTACTTTTGAAAACAAAAACATATAGAAACCTACTATATCATAGAAGCTTTCTAATAGATGTAGATAGATAAATATAGATATAGTATCATTTATATTTTTGGTCAATAAGGTCCCATAGAACTTCCAACATTGAAAGTATAGCCAGTGTTGTTGGTTATCCTCTGGAACTTGAAAGTAAGACCCTGTTGCTGAAGACATCGTGTATTTGTGTCATAGATTATGAAGAAATCTACTGCTACCCTACTAGAAGTCTTATTACGTATTGGCTAGCATTCATATGGATGGAAGGTGCTCTATATGCTAGCAGAAGAGAAAGTAATAATCAATCTCATCCAGATATAAACCCTGTAAACTATGATGACTGTGGTGGTTTGAATAAGAATTGTCTTTATAGGCTCATATATTTAAATATTGGTCACCAGAAAATTGAGCTGTTTGAAAGGATTGGAGATTAGGAGGTGTGACCTTGTTGGAGGACAGGTATCACGGCCTTAGGCTTTGAGCTTTCTAACGCCTCTTTTCTGTGGGCAGATCAGAATGGAGCTCTCAACTACTTCTCCAGCACCATGCCTGTCATGCCTTCTGCTATGTTCTCCACTATGCTGCTAATGGTCTAAACCTCTGAACCTGTAAGCAAGTCCCCAGTTAAATGCTTTCTTTTATAAGATTGCCTTGGTCATGGTGTTTCTTCACGACATTAGAACAGTGAACTCTGTTTTTATATTTTTTTTCCATTTTAGAACAAAACCACAAGAAGTTTGGTGGAGGACAAGGAGAGATGAGGGTATCTGGGAGGAGTTAAGGGATGGGAATGAATATGATCAAAATATATTGTATGCAGTTCTCAAACACTAAATAAAAGTATAATTTCGAAAAGATTTTAAAAAATATTACAAAGAAGAAAACAAACTGAGTACCAGCATTCATTGAACATTGCGTGATGACTTTGACCACAACGTGACCAGCAGGATTTGCCACACCATGATGTACTTTCTTTTGAACTATTAGCCAAATCAATCATCCCTGCAAGTTGTTTTTTCCAGGTATTTGGTCCCATCATCTTGGATAATAACTAATACATATGTATTATGTAAAGATACTATACTGTTTACACAAAAAGTACACACATATGCTTGTATCATCACTAGCACACATACTAAGTTTACTTTCATAATTGAAAGTGTGTTTATATGCATCGTTTCGTATATGCATAGAAACACATTCATTTTCTTATACTTCTATATATGAGAATATGCATGGATAAATGTGTGATTATTTTTATAAATATACACAAATGTGTACATAATTATTTTTAAAGTGCAGTTATAACATTATGGGCAATAAATCCTCACACTCTAAAGTTTCTTCTTAGCAGTTATTTGGTCACAGCAATGAGAAAAATAACTAATACAGCTTATGTGTGTGTATATATGCTGTGTGTGTGTGTATATATATATATATATATATATATATGTGCTTTTTAAATTGTCCTTTTCATAAGGTTATCCTTTTACCTTATGTAAAGTAAGTTCATCTCTTATTATGCCTCCTCAGCCTCTCCTCTACTCTAGTCATCTTAAACTACTGATGTGTTCAGAATCCTTCACATTTTGCTATGTTTTCATGATCAGCTTATTCTATCACCCTGGAAAATTGCTGGGCTCCTTAACTTCATGGGTTAGCTGGTTAATTTGTTTCAGACATCTTGCTAGCCACTGTCTGCTCTCTGAAAGTTGAACTGAGAGTCTATTGCTTGTACTTTTATAAACCGAGTCTTCTGCCATGCCCAATAAATTAATCATATCTTTTTTGGGCAGTACTCCGTGCATGACAGGTATGAGTCAGATTTTGTTTGTTCCTTCCCTAGGTGACGGAACTTACTACTTAAGCTATATCAGTTGCAAGCTGGTTTCACTTGTCTGTTGCTGCAACCAGGTCATTAGAAATTTCTCTGAAAAAAAAAAGTTGTCAGGCAGGCAGAATCATACAGCCAGAATTTGAGAAGAAAGAAGGCTTGATGGTCAAGATTGCCTGAGGTCCTTATCATCTTTCCCTGGATACTGAAAAACACCTGACCAATATCAGAAATATGAGCCAACTGGGGTTGTCTATCAGAACAGCAGGGTGCTGACTTGCAACCATCAAGTTCATGTAAGTATCAGAATTCAGTAAGGTTATGTGCTACCGTCTATTCATGAAAGGTCTCCTCTATTATTTTCTGTTGCTTTTGCCTTTGGGAAAATTCTTGTCCTTACATCTTTAGGGAGGCTGCGGACCTGTGCTTGAAGGCTTCTGAGATCTGGAAGTTCAGAAGGAGGAGGTCTTAGTAATCTCTAGAAAGTCTTTCTCATGTTTTCCTTATGCATTTCCTCTGCTGCATAGAAACTCGGCAAATGTTGGCTCAACTTCTGGAATGTAAGGTTTGATAACAAGAAAAATATATACTTATTCTTCTGTTAGTTCCTCAGTCTCACAGTCACAAGACTGCTTTCATCCCCATAATTTTCTTTGCAACAAGTACAACTTTATTATTGTAGACAATTATGACTAAGAGAAGCAGAGAGTGAAAGAGAAATGCATTGTTGTACAATGTTTGTAGTGAAACTTTTATAAATATGACTGGATTTTTTTCTTTCCTAAATAGGCCATCAAAGAAAGAAAAGATCTGCTGATTTATTCTTCTATGAAAGTTTTGAGATTAATTTTGTAGGAGAAAGTAGAACAGTTGTCACTAAAAGCTGAAAAGAGAAAGTGGCATGGGAAGTTAGAGGGAGGCTAATTTGATACCTATAATTACCGGTATCAAAGATAATTGTTAAGTAACAATAGGCTCTATTAGTGTGAGTTACCCATTAAAGTAATTTATTATGTGTTACAAATAACTGAAAGGGCAAAGTTTGAAAGTATCCAGTAATATTTAAGGAAATAAAACTGCTACTACTTTGACTTGAGCATTGCACATTAAATTATCGTGCTGAAGAGATGGCTCAACAGTTAGGAGTGCTTGCTGCTTTATAGAGGACAGAAACTTGCTTCTCCACACCCATACCTGATTCGCGGCCCCTTGTAACTCTAGTTTTCCAGCCTCCATGGATACACAACTGCACATGTGCATACTAACTGTGGAGATATNAATAACTCCCTGGATGACACAAAATGCTATACTTATATATTTATTTTTACTGAAGAAATTTTGAAATGTTAAAACAAAAAAATATAAAATTTAGAGAGAATAAAAAATAATACAAATCATAGCCAGCCAATCAAAACAGTAAAGCTTGTTTGCATGTGTTTACAGGGGTGCCTGGCTTTAAGTCCAGCAGCACCCTAACATTCCTCATGATAATTACAGAAACAGTGCTGACTCATACCTTCGCTTATAACTGTTTGAGCTCAACCAAACTGTTTATGACGTATTTTTGAATTTTGATTAAAACTCAAGATAAAGGGGTTTTAGTTAAAGCATGATCATATAACATCCTCTCTCCTCTTTCTTCTAATCCCTCCTATGTCTCACCCCATACTCCCTCTCAAAATAGTGGCCTCTTTTTCTTTTCTTGTATGTATCTGCATATACATATATGAATAGATATATGCATATATATAAATACATGATCTGTGGAGTTCATTTAGTGTTGCTTTGTGTACATGATTTAAGAACAGACCACTTGGTATTGGGTAACCAATTAGGGATCTCACCCCCAAAGAAGACTAATTCTTTTTTTCTCAATAGTCATTAGTTGCCTGCGGTTCTCTGTCTAGAGATGGAGCCTTGTGAGATTTCCCCTTCCACAACAGCATGTCTATTGGTGTCGTCATGTTCTGGTCTTGTTTAGACAGCCATAATGTAATAGGATATATGTATAGCTTTTCTGTTATTTCTAGGAAACACACTCTTACAGCAGATCCTCTGGATCTTACAATCTTCCCACTCCTTCTTCTACAATTTCCATGATCCTTGAGTATAGAGATTGTGTTACAGATGTATCTACAGTTATTCTATGAATTTTGAACAGTTATGGTTTTCCTGTATTAGTCTCCCTCGGCAGAAAAGAAAAGATTCTGGGCATAGAAATACATAATTAGCATATGGTTAGGAAGTATACTGGTCTAGTAAAATAGCAGTGGAAATTTATCCTCTAAGATCCATGACGTCACTAGCCCTGGGCAGTTGGCTCTATTTCTGTACCAGGTATGATTTTCCTATTGGTGAGTGCACCTTAGATCTAATTAGAGAGATACTGATTGCTGCAAAGATATGAGTATCACTATTGCACATTTTGAGATATTTTTCCATGTGAGTCATGATTATAGTTTATTGGTATCATGGCTAAATAAGAGCATTGATTGTTTTCTCCTTTGGCAGCTTACATAGAATCTTCTGGCACTCTTAAAGTTAGTCTTCAGGTGAAGGCTTTCAAATTGGACCCAACTCAAATCTTCTGAATCACATGTCCAAAGTATATGAGGTCTTCAGAAATAGGGACTTACCTCAAACTTCTGGGAGAAAACCAAGGAAAATAGCAGTAACCTATATTGATTTTTCAAACATCTTTAGTGTTCTTTATCCCTTATTACTGACTCATCTTTATTGACCTTACTCTCTGTTTCCTCTATAAATGCAAGAATTACAGTTATAATATTTCTTTGTTAGTCTGAAGTTTAATATATAATTCATCTTTTATCCATAACTAAGGAAAACTATAACTATCTCTCCTCAACTCCACTGAAGACTCCATAAGGATATATTACCTAAGTAAACAGGAAGTACATTGTAAGCAACTTCTAAAGTTCTAGAAATAACAGAGACATCTTGCTGCCTGGACAGTCATCCATAATTCTTTCATAATGTTGGGGCACCCTTCTTCATCCTATAGGCCCATAATATCTGGCAGGCTTCGGTGAAGAAGAATTTTGAAGATCTATTCTGCAATGTGTTAGCAAAGTTCATTAGTTGCTTTCTTTTGTGTCCTGTAGAATGTCTGGCAATTTCTTCTGTGAATCTGGAACCCTGAAAGACCATGCCATCTTTTGAAAAGTACAGCAGTCACTTTTCTATGAGTCCTGCATGAGTAGTTTATACAGCATACCATCAAGCAGTTCAGGCAAGAGTAGTTTCTTGCCCAAATGGCTAGTCTTGTTAAATTGAAGGCAAATTCCATAACAAATTTCTTCAATGCCCCTCAGCCTCTCTAAGTAGTTGGTGCTGCCAGAAGAAGACATGTGCTATTGTCGAGAAAAGCCCAAGTTCTTAAAACATTTTAAATGGCATATTCTGAAGGTCTTTTAAAGTGTTGAAGATTATTTATATAACTGAAATATCTAAAAGACCTAACTAACACAAGAAAAAGTTTGATTATTATAGATGGCTATTAATCTGTATTTATTAACTTTACATTTTAAATGAGCTGTATGACCATAATGCACTAAAGAAAAGTAGAAATGTATATATAGTGTAACAAAATCAACCTTAAATGTGTAATAAACCAAAGTCTACAACAATGTATTTATTTATATGTAATATCCCCTTGCTTTTTTAGAAACAGATTGACTGTAACCATTAACCACTTTATCCCCTTTAAATGAAAACCAACATTTATAAGCAATAATTATAGGA